GGCCGTGCTAAATTGTCCCGTAGTGCCCAGGGATGTGCGTGTTAGGGGGGATTGGCCATGGGAAATGCACGATTGGGCAGGAGGGTGGTGAGTCCGAGTGGGGTGCTCTTCGGAGGGTCGGTGTGGACCCGATGGGCCGAATGGCCTGCTCCCACACTGTCGGATGCTACGGTGCGCACAGCAGCAACGTTGAAGAGGCATCTTGACAGATGTATGAAATGGGCCGGGAATAGACAGGTTTTTTAAAAGTTTAGAACGGAATCCTGTGTTGGCGTAGATGGGCCGAAGGGCTTGTTTCCCCGAGAGCAGAGTGGAGGGCGACCGGACACGACAGAGCAGAATCGGCGGGCCGAGTGGTCTCAGTCAGCTCCTCCGTCTTATGGGATCGTGTGGAGGGAGGCAGCAGGTCGCAGTTACCCATGTAAAAGTGCCACTGGGATGGCTAATGCGAAGGTGGGAGAGGGAGCGAACATCATGGAGCACGGAGAGAGAAAGAGAGAGAGGGAGAGAGAAAGAGAGAGAGAGAGAGAGAGAGAGAGAATGTGCCTAAGCTCAACAAGGGCAGTGGCTTTTGAGAGCATGACATGGGAGAAGAATGCAAGGTTTTCCAGTTGGACAGAAAGTGAGGAAAAGCAGCATTTTATTTGAAACAGACGGCATGGAGTAGGAGGAGAACAGTGTGTTACAGTACAGAGAGGTCCCTGTACATCGATCACACAATGTTGAGCTGGCCAGGCACATAATGTAATTAGGAAAGGAAACGAACCGATGGCCTTCAGAGAGTCCAACAGCATGGAAACAGACCCTTCGGTCCAACCCGTCCACATATCCTAAATTAATCCAGTCCCGTTTGCCAGCATTTGGCCCCTATCCCTCTAAACCCTTCCTATCCATGTACGCATCCAGATTCCTTTTAAAATGTTGTTACTGTACCAGCCTCCACCACTTCCTCTGGCAGCTCCTTCCATACACGCACCACCCTCTGCGTGAAAAAGTTACCCCTCGGGTCCCTTTCCCCCCCACCTTACCTTAAATTTATGCCCCTCTAGTTTTGGACTCCCCTACCCTGGGGGAAAAGACCTCATCTATTCACCCTATCCATGCCCCTCATGACTTTGCGCCTACATGTGACTCCAGACCCCACGCAGCGATAGGGTCGACTCTCACCCACTGCCGAGCAAGACGCCCAGTTTTGGGGGCAGTTAGGGACATGACAGCCCCATCCCAGAGACACAAAGGACAGATCAGTATTCGTCCCGTCAAAGTTTACATCATTTCGATCTTTTGTAATACTTCCCTTGTGCAAGGAAGTCTTTCATGCTGCACTTTCTGGAAGTCTACATAGACAACATCTACCGCATTACTTCGATCGACCCTCTCTGCTTCATAAGAGACTATCGCACCCGTGTTTCCTGCCCCCTATCCCCAGGCGAGATTTCACTCGGCCCTCAATGACACTGGTTCTCACACCCAGAAGGCACTGGGAGGGGCATTTCTGGTCTCACTTCCTGTCCCTCCTGAAACAGGTAAGGGGTGTGCGCGTCCCTCTGCCCTGCTCTTCAGTGACAGGAGGGCCTGCATTTCAATAGCAGCCCACCCCGAGATGTGCCCCACAGCCCTAGGCTTCGTTTCGTTGGATGGACAGTCAGTCACCCATTATCATGGAGGGAGGGCAACGTCAGCCATTTTGTACACAGCAAGCGCCAACAAATGGCGACGAGATTTCAGTTCAGCGCTCCCTGCCCCAGAAGCCAGACAATCACCAAAACAAAATAGGATTAAAAAGGGATCATCCCATCATTTATAGGTGGGTCTTGCTGTGCACTCAGAATGCAAATTGTATGGGGTGAGGTGGGGGGTAGGCATGGGCGACAAGGGAGCATTTTGAGGGCATGACCATATGACATAGGAGCAGAAATTAGGCCATTCGGCCCATCGGGACTGCTCCACCCCTCAATCATCACTGAGAAAGTTCCTCAACCCCATTCTCTCCCATAACCCTTGATAATCAAGAACCTATCTCAGTCTTAAATGTGCTCAATGACCTGGCCTCCACAGCCTTCTGTGGCAGTGAATCCCATAGATTCACCACTCTCTCTGGCTGAAGAAGTTTCTTCTTATCTCCGAATTAAAAGCTCTTCCCTTTACTCTCAGGCTGTGCCCTCAGGTCCTAGTCTCTCCGACCAATAGAAACATCTTCCCAACATCCACTCTGTCCAAGCCATTCAGTATTCTGTAAGTTTCAATTACATCCCTCCTCATCCTTCTAAACTCCAATGAGTATAGTCCCAGAGCCCACAAACGACAAGGGGTTACAGAAACACCCACTCTTCCTGTAGCTTCCCAGCAATGGGCAGTAATCTGCCCAGCTCGGACCTGGAAGCTAGATGAAGGCAGGTTGTCTACATGGGCTTTAGCAAGGCCTTGGACAAGGTTCCACAAGGTAGACTGGTTCCTAAGATTAGATCACATGGGATCCAGGGAGAGCTAGCCAACTGGATATATCAGAGGGTGGTGGTGGAGATTGTTATTCAAATTGTAGGCCTGTGATCAGTGGAATGCCACAGGGATCGGTGCTGGGTCCTACTGTGGTTCATCATTTACATAAGCAGTTTGGATGAGAATATAAGATGCACGATTAGTAAGCTTGCAGATGACACTAGAGTTGATGGTAGAGCCAACTGTGAAGATGGTTATCTCAAAGGCGATGGCCTAGCGGTATTATCGCTGGACTGTTAATCCAGAGACCCAGATAACATTCTGGGAACCTGGGTTCCAATCCCGCCACAGACGGTGGAATTTGAATTCAATAAAACATTAAGAGTCTAATGATGACCATGAACCCATTGTCGATTTTCGGAAAAACCCATCTGGTCCTTTAGGGAAGGAAACTGCCATCCT